TTCACTTGCAGTCCACCTCCCATCCCTACTTTCATATCTGAGCGGGATTAATACATCATTCTGATCCTGACCCTTGCCCTTAAGATCGTGTACGGATATCGAACACAACTTTAGAGACATTTATCGGCTTTGTATCGATCATCCATTTTAATACCCTTAACAGTTATCATGAGGCTACAGATGCTGTTAATTTAGAGGAGCTCAGTCTCATCAGCACAGGTTTTGTGAGAGGAGATCTCACTAATGAAACTTCTCTCGAGAAAATTTAAGCGACACGAGGCCCTCGATTGGTTTAATCATATCATATTTGAGCTTTTTAAAAGCACTCTTAAATAAAGCAGTATCATCGATATAGGTCAAAACCAGAAGTTGCGATAAGCGGAAGTTGACGAAGTAATACGAGACCACTCCTAGTGTATGGCAACTGACACTCAGCAACGGCTCATCGAACGCGCAGCATTGCACTTTTAGAGCATTCCTTAGGATGTGACAAAAGGAAAACCAATGACGCGAAATTGACCTGCGTTTAAATGAGTAGACGTCGGGTCCATGGACTCAGTCCTTTTACAAGTCCCGCGATTTTCTTTGAGAACTTGACCAAAATCAATTTTCCTGACTTCTCATCATGACTTGGTACCTTTTTCAATTAGGCCTTGGTCATGCTTTCTTGGGCAGCTGCTAGTCAAGTCGTACCAAAATCAAATTCTTCACTAATTCCCTGAATTAATTTAAGATTATCGAATCGCAGGCTGGTGCTCCGCTTCGATCCGTAACAGCTCTTTCGGGTTGATTGCAAATTTTGAAGCCGTTCAATTTCAGGTGATTTAATGGTGTGAGAATATAGTATTGCTAATAAATGTAAGGGAGACAATATGAAGCTTGTCATGATTTCTGCTGGAGGCAAAGGATTGTATGTTCGAAAAAATGGCAGGTAGGAGTCAGAAATCATTAGAGCGACGACGAACCGTTGATGATTGATTCACGAGATTGGACGAAATGAGCCCCATAAATTGCATGCATGAGGATATAATCAGCGTAAGACTCGTGATGCGCCACGAGAGGTTGCTCTTTGTGGCCGCATAGAAGCGCTCTAATAAACGGACGAAACGCTCGGCCTAATGAAAACCTTGTGAAATACGCCACGCGGCCACACAAGTATTGCATCAGCTGTCAATACCTCGCTTCCACTGGCAATTATTGTGCTTGTATGGCTTATGTTGTTGCAAATTGTAAGATTAGCCAGTTTACTGGCCAGTGTCCTTTGTCGTCGAGGACCAAACGAGTCTAGAGCAGATGGAAGAATTACTTGTTTTAAAGGAGGAATTCACGATAAGAACGAAGGTCAAAGAAGGGGAAAATTGCATAGTTGGGAGACAGGCGGACCTGAGGGTGCTGACCGACGCGCAATTGGCAGCGAAAGATTTGACCTCGGCGATCTAGCATGGCTCACTCTTGGCGCGGTTGGCGGGGTACGCCCACCGACTATCTAATCACTCGCCGCAGGTCTATACGTGGCGAGTGATTAGATAGCAGAGAGAGCGTAGTGGGCACAGCGATGAGAGTCGCATCAATGCGCAAATCAACGGGCAAGGAAGGGGTCCCATTTCTCGGGTTTCGGGCCGTTTCTCATGGTTTTTTCTTTTTACTGCCCTCTACCCTTATTTCCAATGAAGTACATTCCATCGTCAATTGTGCCTTTAAGTGGGATCCGGCACGGGATTCGAGACCTTCATTAGTGTAGTGGCGCCACTTTCCTTCGGCGGACCGTGGAAGGTTTGATACTGTTTCGGCAAAGAGACGCACCAAAGGAAAAAATACATATGTTGACGCTCAAAAGGGGTGAAAAATAGGAAAAAAATCCTCTGTATTTAGCACCCATCCAGAGCATGGTAGAACAAACACACACAAAGTCGACGTCTGTGCTTTTAACGTGCTATTTTGGTGAAGCTTACATTGAAAATGGATAAGATCTATGGAAAAATGTATATAATGTCGATAAAGTGAGTGCGCAAGGAAGGGTATGAGCCACAGAATGCAGTAGGTGAGCGATAAAGGATGTGAGAGATACTGCTGTGGCTTGGCGAAAGATGCCCGTGTTCTGTAATCTTGTTCAGCTCCCACCTAATAAGCCGATTCTAAACCGTCCAATATGTACGCGGAGGGGGGGGGGGGAGGTGGACGCGTTTCGAAGTCTTCGGGTTTTAGGTGGTCATTTCTCTGCTTCCTTCGCCTAACTGGACACCCCTGAGCAGCACAACAGTAGGCAGAAATCGTGTAACGACTCTCTTCGGTGGGGAGCCTGAGAGGAAAGTCACAGCTAAGCCACTTCCATGCATGGAAATCACCTGATAAGGGCACTAGGGCATTGGAAGGTAAGCTGCATCTGCTGCAAATCTTCTGGCTGTTGTCTGGCACCCTCCCATTCTCGACCCATACTCTCCTCTCCGCGCTATGTCTCTCACGATCAGTGCTTAGCACAGTCGCATTAGGCCAAGTGCCAGACTTTGCGAATTCGCTACTAGCGATTCGCGCGATTCGCTAGCGTCCGCGGTCGCGTTGCGGTACCAGCCAATTGAGTGATTCACTGGCCGCGACGCGACCGCAGACGCTAGCGAATCGCGCGATTCGCAAAGTCTGACATCGGCCTTAGTGAGCTGAGGCGACCAGGCGTTTTTGACAGATTCATTTCATACTCCTTACTGCGGGTTCACTTCCCAACACTTTCGCAAGCACCACACCACTTCGATTCTCAGACATACCTTTAACATCCCCTCTTCCATTCTGATTCCACCCAGAATTATCGGACTCACTGCCTTTGACCAGTTTATAACTAGCATGATTTTTTAGGTAGTTCAGAGGAGAGCTAAGGTGATTTTGGCTTTCTTGAAAACGCCAAAATAAACACATCAAAATACCGAAGGTTTAGTCACTTCAATTCCAAGGATCGAATTCATGACTAACACAAAGCGCTAAGCCAAAATGGTCTGGCCTGTAGCAAAAAGCGTTGCCAACAATATGCGCACGAAAACATCCAAGGCTTATTGTTTGCTTTACCCGCGAACAGTTTATCGTGCCGGGAATAGACCTGATATTACTTTCATTTCGCTTGCAACATATAAACTGGCTAAGCTTCTTTCCACTTAGCAGGATAAAAACAACATTAATGCCTGAGGCGTGGACTGGGTAGGGAGCTGGGAGTGGAACGAGGTTAGCTAGATTAATTACTTCATTTTGGGCTAGCTAGCTGCTATATTGGTATACCAAGCATTTTCAACTGACACTGCAGAGCAATTATTTTGGCCTTGGTCCCGAATGCTTTTATAGCTGCGGTGTCACATTCTTTTTATAAGGCCAGCGTCTGGGCCTTGTCGCCTTCGTCAGAAAAGCCTGAAAAGCCAAAGATAAATGCGAACTACCTCTGAATTTTTAGTGGGTGGCTTCGTATGATGAGCCCCCTCAAATTGAAGCCGCTCGCGCCCGCATGCGTTCTAACCATAACGCGGGATATACGTAATCACATGCAAAAGTTGCGGAGGCGAATACATCGAGGAATCTGTGCTCCAGGGTCAAGGAGACCTGGATGGACCTGAAAAGATCAATACCAGCCACTCCTCTAGGGGCCCATCGACTGCAGCATCACGTGGGGCAGAGCTTGAGGTAAGTGTAAGGATTCTGATGATCGAGCCGCAAACCCTAGCACGCAAGACTGTCGAGGCGTTTGGATAAATGCGTAAAGCGCTGACATCAATAGCAAGGATGAGTGCCTCACCCTACAAATGAACTCACGTCTGTACGAGCTTTTCGAGCGTAGGTACTGAAGCACACTGGATGTCATGCAGTCTTACATTAAGCGAGGAAAACTTAAAGGCAAGAATCAGGATTACATTGATGGGTTGATTCCACTCAAATGTGAAAGTAGGGATGAGAGGTGGACCGCCAATGGAGAAAAAAGGAAAGAAAATCCTGACATGCACAGGAAATACGAGCATTTTGCTCCAATGCTGTGGAGAAGTTCAAAAGACAGGGAGATGAGAGATAATGTGAGCGCGGAGAGTGGTAGAGAAGTCCGAGAAGAGAGAGCATAGCAGATCAACGCAGCGACGCAGACAAGACATCGATCGGTGGGCGGACCATGTTATGTTTGGTGGAGTCTGTTAGAAGTTCATGGCGCCTAGGGTCCTGGTGACGGGTTTCGATGTAGAAAGGTGGCGCTAACTTTGCACTTGCGTACCCAGCACTTCTAGCCATAGTAAGGGCTTTTAGGTGAGTCTGAGTACGAACTTTGCCTTTGAGGTGGTTCCTATGAGTGTTGGTGGTTGCCCTTCTAGGCCTATTTGAAGGGATTGAATTTGGATCTTGAATGCTGGTGATTTGAAAAGTTACATCCCATTATTCGAATGTAGGATTCTGGCCCCGAAAAGCCGAAAAGGCCCACGGTTAACCTGTAAAGTGATGATGGCATTTTGTTTGCAGGGTTCAAGCTTTTTGAAACGTGTAATAAGGCCAAGATCATCGAAAGTAGTTAATAGATTAATTTTAGGCTTGAGACAATTACATTTTCCGCTTTGTGCTTTGCCATTTTAACTGCAGTTTAGTTTTTACGATTCCACAAACAGGATTTGAGGATCTCCCTGCAAAAGTTGAAGCTTTCAACTTTCCGGGAAAAATCTTCAGAGGTTTTTCTCCTTGTTTGTAGCCCTGTTCCATGACATTGTATTGATTTGAAGCCATGCTGAACATTACAATTGGATTTCGGGTCGAAGCGATCATTCCTAAAGAAAGGTGCATCGATAGGCGCGTTTTTGGGCGCTGACTCCAACCTGCATTCCAAATCTGCGAAACGACTCTTTGAACACTCATAAAGCGCAAAAGGGCAGTGGTAGTGGTTTTCGTCTTGGATACCGGCGGAGTTCGATGGGAGTCGATTTTGAAAGGCTTTCTGCTCCAGAAGCTCGTTCCTAGAGCAGCGCTCCTCCTCCTGAAGCAGAGTATCATGCTCGTTCTTCGCGATGATGTCAGAAGTGTGCTCTATGGGCATCACGGGCTAACAGTGCGCAGAATATTATTTTTTATTGGAGTCCGCGCTGCTTATTAGGCCCATAGGTGAGTGGTAAATGATTAAATGGAGACGACGTTTTGGTAATGGTGCAGGAAAAGCAGAGCAACAAATTTGTCAAGGAACCGATCTCAGAACATCTCGCCTTTGTGCATTAGCAACTACCGTCGCCCTGTGAGCTTCATAGGCTCGCGAATGAAAGACAGAAACGCTAGAATTTAAGTTGCAACGTTCTCCTGCTTATCACTATGGGCAACGAAAAGTGATCAACAGGATAGTGTGCTGGCAGTGATCAAGTCTGCTCAGCATTGTATTTCCTTTCCTAGATTTTATTTCCTGTGTTTCCTGGTTGTGAGTGGCGTCGAATGAGAGCATTATTTGGAGCACACAAACTGGAATCGAGCTAATAAGAGCAAATTTTTTATTTTTTGAGTGTGTGCATGACACATCCTCCCAATTCCTTCCAAAGTTCATTTTTCATTGGAAAGTCTAATAAAAAAGGAAGGATGCGCGGTTGTGTTCGAGAAGTAAGCAAACCAGCCCTTTTTGGCGTTTCTGCTGGGGCCGTATGTTGGGAGGGGATGGGGTCCCCGACGGTCGACGGACTACTTCAACTCGGTCCTTAAAACCGCCTCAATTTGATGCTTACCTCAGGACTAAGCCTTAAAGAGAGGACGGACCTGCGAGAGAGCGCAGGTCCGTCCTCTCTCCAAGGCTTAGTCCTGGGGTAAGCAAACCAGCCCGGAGCTGCTGGACCAGCTGCACCACTTGCGTCATACTCTCCTACCGTACCGACCGAGTTGAAGTAGTCCGTCGACCGTTGGGGACCCCATCCCCTCCCCAACATTCAGCATACGGTCCCAGCAGAAACGCCAAAAGGGCTGGTTTGCTTACCTCCTGTTTCAATGATGCCGTTGACGTCATTGGCGATATTAACCGTACACTTAGACAAGATCACTGCTTCAAGTGTCATTTTCGGTCCTCCCTTCAGGAAAACTATTTCGAAGTAATAGCTTCCGAACTTCACAATTGCAACTTAATTTCAATCAATAAATGTGGGGAGGGCCCTTGGAATCGTGTTCCACCCATTGCACATGAAGCCACTTGGTGCAATTTTCCACTTGATGCATCAGGCTGTTTGATTATGAATTTCAGAAGTGCTGGTCTACGCGCTGTACGGCACAGGCGTCCCACGGTGGAAACGGCTCGGATAAAGTAGTGATCAAAAGTATTCAACGAGGCAGATTTGTGCATGATTTTCCTACCTTGAGCAGATTATTTGAAGTCAAATGTCATAATCATGCCTTGCAGGCCTTTGTGAAAAGTATACAGGGCATCAAAAAGAAAAATTCAGGAGGTCTATGAGTCTTTTTGGAAGAGAAAAAACCACTGAGATAAAATCATTTATCATTTAATTGTCTATTTATTTTCTTGCGCACAAGGGTGCGCCAAAAAATGCAGGAATGAAAAAAATGATTAAAGCCGTTGTAGGGGAAGGGTGTAAGGCCGATGTCAGACTTTGCGAATCGCGCGATTCGCTAGCGTCTGCGGTCGCGTCGCGGCCAGTGAATCACTCAATTGGCTGGTACCGCAACGCGACCGCGGACGCTAGCGAATCGCGCGATTCGCAAAGTCTGACATCGGCCTAATGCTCCAATTCCAGTAACAATATTCAAAGGTCCAGCAGGAACAAATTAACAAATCAAAGATTACTAAGTAAGTCATGCATATGCAAGAAAAGGATCGACCCACTTGCCCGTCACGGCAGAGAGAAAAAAGGCACAATAGTAGAGTAAAGAGAGTCTAACCGCCACATGTTGACCATCATATGGGGATAGAAACGGGTTTTCACCGACACATTTTAAAAGCAAAATGTAAGCAGCAACGCTCATAGTGCTAAATTGAATTGTAAAGATATAAGAGGAGAAAAACAGTGTGGGCAACTAGCCGTGGCTATTTCCAATGCGAGTTGAAGTACTTGGAAGATTCTGATCCAAATACGAACCCCGGGCGTAAGACCCAGACGCAGGTGAACAAAGGAGATAAGGGCATGATATCTTATTTCGGGGTGGATATACTTATTTCAGCAGTATAGTCCAGAACCGGTGTGCCATGGATGGTTTGTGATTCAGAATCTCATTTTACTTTTTCATAGATGAAGGGCAAGAAGCAGTAAGATGAAAAAGAAAGCAGCAGTAGGTAATCAATATTGCATTGTACAATACTATCTAACAATGGGAATTAGAAAGAAACAATGGGGGTGAAGAAATGTTTTTGGCAAGTACTTCAGCATATGTTTAGTAGGAAACGACGAATCCTCATTAGATGTTCATTTGAACGGAGCTGCTGAAAAACTTTTGTCTGATGTCACCCTCATATCTGTTCAGCTAGTTCCAACGTTGAGGTTTGCAGTAATTTCTTTCACGATAGAAAGAATGACATGAAGCATATTCGGCGTAGCTCAATCCCTTTTTAAGATGCCCCATGCATTCGAAGTCAAGTGGCTCCTGAACACAATCGGGCATCTAGTCATTTCGTTGTGTTGTCCATAGTACATGGTGGCTTGGAAGGGCCAGTGTAATGTTACAAAGACAGTGTTATGTCCTTCGCGCAAGGCTGATGTTGAACCTATGTTGAGGGAATCGAAGGCTTGGGTTTTAGTCAACCCGCTGGGTGACCGATACTGTTTGTCACTACAGCGTTTGGAATACAATATAATGAGAGTACCCTTTGTTATTACAAAGATGCTGTCGTATCGGCAAAACTTTCGCCGCAGGCAAGATTCGTACGCGCATTTGCTTATGGAAGAATTTGCGTATAGTTACATCATGGATCACCATGCTCACCGTCGGCTCGATGGAAATTTTACATACAGTGCGTACCAAAAGTATGTGGACACCCTAGAATCGATTCTCAGGAGTCAGCTAAAGGCTTTTTGTGTTATGAAAACCTTCACCATTCAACTCCTAGTGGTCGATAACCTACAATGACATTTTCGGCAAAAGATTTCGTTCTAACTTAGCGAACTATTATTTCATCATGGAAAGTTTTTTCTTTTTGTATCAAAATTATGTGGACACCCTGAGGCAGATGAAGTTTTTGCATCGATTTCCTAACCTATTTTTACTTCTCCTTTCGTTACTTATTCTGGCATCATTCCTCTTCACGGCAAGCGTTTTTCTGAAGAAGACCGAGCACAGAAATGGGATCCCCATGCTTCTGAACCTTCCTATTGCGAAATAGCACGTCAACCAGTCATGCGTCCTCGTAGGTTTGGAGAGAAATCCGAAATCCTGATGCTAAGCTCTCGACCTTGACTGAGGGTTGTTCTCAATCGCTACTTGTTCAAAACAGCAGAAGAATAGCCTTAATTTTCTCAAAAATTTCTCTTTTCGTACTACTCAACTTTACGCATAAATGATCTTCCCGATCTTAAAAAAGACCAATCGGTGTCTCATTCAATCAATTGAGCACACGACACGAAAGAAGATGAAGAAGGCTTTGTATATGAATGCGGGTTCAGGTTGGCAAGGTTGGAATTCCCACTCAAAAAAGGATCACAACATGATACTTTGAACCCACACAGACAGTGCTTTCGTGGAAATGGTAAAATTAGTATAAAAGACTTTCTGTGGAAATTTCTCTCATAGACCAACTCGACTGGCAGAAAGAAGCTTATTCCTTACTATTCGGGTGGGTCTTGAGGTTTTTGGAGAGACTTTGGTCGGACCCGCAGATGTGCTCGAAGAGACAATTCGGAAGATGTTCATCAAAGGTCTGGGGTGGTTCCAAAAGGAGGGGACATTGAAGTTTGGCTTGCCAACATGTCAGGTAGACGACTAGGATTATAATGAGGTGCTTGAGTCCCGGCTACAACCTTTTTCGAAAAGTCATGGTTGCAAATCACTTGTTTTGCAGGGGAGGTCCCTGACACCATTCCATTTGGAAAAATGCTAAACGCAACGGCTTTGATTGGCAAGTCGGCTAGCGTATTCCTCAGACTTCATCCTTATTGAAAACGTAGAGGTATCGTGGTTCGCGGTCTCTACGTCATTGAACAAAAGAGTAATATCACAAGTGACCTAACACGTCGGTGAAATTTGCTAGTTGGGAACAGATCTGCAAGACATGTATCCAGACCCCATTCATAGCATGCCAAACAGAATGGCTCAACTTACTAGAAACTTTGGTAGGCCTACCGATTTCAGATTTTGAAGATATTGCCGTTTTTCAAAAAGTGTCCACATAATTTTGATACAAAGAAAAAACTTTCCATGAAAAATAGTTCGCTAAGTTAGAACGAAATCTTTTGCCGAAAATATCATTGTAGGTTATCGACCACTAGGAGTTGAATGGTGGAGGTTTCATGACATAAAAGCCTTTAGCTGACCCCTGAGAATCGATTCCAGGGTGTCCACATACTTTTGGTACGCACTGTACTTTATTAGCATCAAACGATAAGTATTGGCCGTTTGATGGTATGGAGGAGATCCTGATAGCTCGCCAAATCAAATCGTTCTAGTTGGTGATGTAAGGGCGATTCAGGCGATTAGGCTATTAAGCGATAGTCTCTTAATGAAAGCATAGGTAATAGGGACTTAGGAGGGAGACGTTCATACGTATTTACTGGTTGCTCCGCGCACAGCCTTGTAGGTGAGTGGGCGAGTAGGCGAGCGGGCGATTAGGCGATTGCTCAATGGGCGGAGCAATAAATCAATACGTATCCCTCTTTCATCTTCTACTCGCCTACTCGCTAATCGCCTACTCGCCTAATCGCCTAATCGCGGTGGTCGAGTACGATCGCTCTTGAATGCTCCGTTATTTTAGCAGATCTTGGCAGTAAATTGCAAGGTTAAGAGCTTATCCTTAAGCTCCATAGAGCCTGCGTTCCTATGATAATTTTTCGCAAGGCGAACTGCGACGTAAAACAGCGTGCAATGTGAAGTAAACTTCAATTTTAAATTTTTCAACTTTCTTTTGAATTCCTTTCCTTTCTGAGCTTCTGTATTCATTTGAGCAAACGCTATGTTCAAAACTTCTTAGCTATGCAATCAGTGCTTTTAGGATTAGCTCCTAGGGACTCTACTTGGCGAGTCATTATTATCATAATATTTTTTTTGCAATTAAAGGCTTTAGTTCTTCGATATTTTAGTAACTCGCGGATAGTACGGATTGACTGCACAGAAGACTTTTTTTGCATTCCTCCCATTAGTCTTTTAGAGGGACGCGGAAGTGGTGTAGTGGCAAGTGGCACGCTTACCACGCGAGCGGTCCGGGATCAAATCCTGGGTCGTGAGTCGCCCGGGCCAACCAAGCCTTCCATTAATTGGTACCAGACTTGTCTGGGAGGATAAAAAACACTGACTTGTACATCGGCTGGCCCCCGCAAGTCATTGTATAGGCCACATCGCATTCAAACGCCACTGCGAATGTACAAATGGAAGTAGAATGCGTGCCGCATCCCAAAAAGGGATTGATCAACGGCAAATGCTTTATCCTTTATTCTTTTATCATTCTTTATTTAGTTCATTTGGTGGTATTGCTGACCCTTTCCTCTGTGCCGCTTCCGGCTACATTTACCCATTTCACCCATGTTTTCATGCCAAGATCAACACGCAAAGTTAGAATACTGCCTTTGTTAAATAACCCCGAGCCAGCACCTGGGGTTCATGTTCAAATCAAAGAGGTGCCCCTGCGCCCAACCCTGTTGCGCTGCGGCTCGCAGCAGAATTATCTTTAAGGCTTCTAAGCAACTTTCGATGCACTTTGACCCTCTTTCTTCCAGTAATAAGTCTCTAAAGGTTATGGGGTCGCTTAAGTGATTAGCTTTTTCTTAACCTTCTAAAGTCAATTTATAGTCGATCAATCTAGTGCCATTTATCAGTGACTTTATACTGTTAGATTAGCCTGTAGATGGGTAAATAAATAACAGTATCCTTCGCATTTAGAGAATCATTCAAGTTGGCAATTTAAGAGAATCATTCAAGTTGACAATTAGTCCAGTTACCTTTGCTTGATAACGTACATAGTTTGTAATAGCTAAGATTTCTTGAAAAAAAAAAACAGGGAGGCTTACTTAGAAATCACCAGTTTGCTGGTCAGCAATAATATTTATTTATTTATTTATTATACATTTGTTTACAAGCAACTGACCGTAGATATCCATTAAAATGACTACGTAGTAATACCGACGATTTTTGCTGAGGAGCGGTCTTCAGCTGACTGAGTGAAGCTAGGAATGAATAAAGGCGCCTTTCCAGTCATTAGCAGTAAAGAAAAACTTGTAATCAGGCATAAAAACGAGTGGGATCCTTGATGATGGTCTATTCATGGGTAAATATTTACTTATATGGCAACCGCTGCAACCTGAACGTGAGCATCTCTCCGAGTTAGAGAGCAAGCTCAATGTCTTCATTCACCTGTAAAGGGTTCGGTTATCCTATTTATTTATTCCAGATTTCAGCCTTTGAGCGCCGCACTGTTAGTGGTAGCGTCGTCATTTGCCCTTACATCAAAGCGCCCCAAGTGATAGTGCTTGTCTTCACTAGTATAGCTCTCAGAAGTGTTTGGTCAATGACCAAACAGTTCTTGAGAGCTGCCAGCGTTGCGCTTGGCGGTGAACGCAGGGTCAAACGCCTTGTTGGACCGATTCCAAAAATTTGACGACCCCCCCCCTCTTGGAGAGTCTCGATACGACCCCCCCCTCCAGCACTTATTATGTACTGTACACTGCCAAGGAAAAGGCTAACATTACGGGAAATAAGTGCAATCTACAAAAAATCACAAGACACTTAGCTTGAATTCGAACACAAGTAGCAGTAGTTTACTGATAAGCACAAAATCGCAAAATGAACTGCCTTCATTAGTAGCTGAGCAGGATTGGCATGCAGTTTGAATGGCGCTTTGCTCAGGAAATATACTAACTTTCATGGCTCGGTTTCCAGAACCACAATAACTTTTCCACTTCGATACAAAATTGAAATATTCATAATGATTTGGAATTGCGAACGAGTGCATGATGCATTTCAGAAAACGAGAGTCTACTGCAGAAAAGACCGAAATGAGCGCGGTCGCGTTTGCACTGGCGCGCACAATTTTCCTCTCGGTTTGGCGCTGAAAGACCAGCGCGGACTATAACTTTTTAAATAAGTGCAATTCTATTCAGTACAAGTATTTTTCAAAACGCTAAGTAGCTCGTAATCTACGAGATTGCGAGTTTTAAAAAAATTGCCCCGTCTGTACAGCATCTTCAAAACTGAAAACAGTTATGGGGTAGAGAATAAAGAATTCACAAAATGCGCCTTTTTCGCTTGAAAGGTTGTAACTTCTTCAAATGAGAAAGGGAGGTAGTGGTACGAA